GGCCTGTGGGCCCCACTGCTGCTTCCGCTGCCCTACTCTGTGTCGCGCGCCCCGTGGCGCGCGACCTTCACATTTTCATCCCGCCGCGCGCTCGGGGCGTGCGGCGGTTTTCTCCCCGCCGTGCGCACCGAGGCGCACGGCGGTTTCCTACCGTGGGGGACGCCCGCGGCCCCCCGATCCCGTCGCCCGCGGCCCTCCGGTCCCGTCGCCCGCGGCCCCGCGATCCCGTCGCCCTGGGGAGCCGCACGCGACCCCCCGCGGCCCCGTTTTCCCGTCGTGCCGCCCTGGGGAGCCGCGCGCGACCCCCCGCGGCCCCGATTTCCCGTCGTGCCGCCCTGGGGAGCCGCGCGCGACCCCCCGCGGCCCCGATTTCCCGTCGTGCCGCCCTGGGGAGCCGCGCGCGACCCCCCGCGGCCCCGATTTCCCGTCGTGCCGCCCTGGGGAGCCGCGCGCGACCCCCCCGCGGCCCCGATTTCCCGTCGCGCCGCCCTGGGGAGCCGCGCGCGGCCCCTCGCTGCCCCGTGGTCGCGTTCTGGGGGCCGAGCGCCGTCCCCCTCGCCGTCCCCCGCGCTCCTTCCCCCGTTCCGCCCGTTTTTAGGGTTTGGGGGTGCGGAGTGTGGGGGTGGCAGCTCTGGGGGTGCCGTGTGTGTGCGCCGTCCCCTGCTCCTCCTCCTCCGTCTCCCACTGCTGCAGCTGCCGCTGAGGGGGGTGGATGTGTGGGAGCCGAGGTTTAGGGTTTAAGGGGGGTGCCGTGGAAGTGGAGCTAGGGTGTCAGCAGGGGGTGTGTGAGAGGGGCGTGGGACGGTCGGGGGAGGTTGCGTGGAAGTAGCCGTCGTGACGCCAGCAGCGCCAGTAGTCCGGATGCCCTCGCGCGTTTCGGTAGCCCAGCGAGCCTGCTTCGCCAGTTGCCTGTGGGTCAGTTGCTCCTGTGTGTGCTCGTCGTAGCCGCGGAGCCAGATACTCCCGTAGTCCGGTGCCCTCGTGCGCTCGGTAGCCACTGTGCACGCCGCTCCTGTTGCCCGTTGTGTCTGCAGCAGATCGCCCCTCACAGTCTCTCCTCCTCCTCACTTGCCCTCTGTGACTGCCTCTAGCTTTACTTGCATTTGTGGACTTGATCTATGACTGGTTATTTGCGCTGATTACACCCCACTTTGGCTATGGGGGTGTGTCAGAATGTTGTAATTGTCTAGCCTGCAGTGGGGTACTCTATAGCGAGTACAACCCAAATTAGGGTTTCCTATATGTACCTTGCATGCTGCTAGTACAACCCCTCTTCTCTGTTCTATCTTTCGTCCTACCATCTCGATAGTCCCTACTCCTCTCAGTGGCAGACAGCCATGGACGCAGAGATGGCTTCCTGGAAGTCCACAGGCACATACGTAGACGAGGTTCCCCCTCCTGGGGCGAACATCGTCAGTGGCATGTGGATTTTCAGGGTGAAGCGGCCGCCGGGTTCTCCGCCTGTCTTCAAGGCGCGCTACGTGGCTCGAGGCTTCAGTCAGCGAGAGGGAGTAGACTTCTTTCAGACCTTCTCCCCCACCCCGAAGATGACTACTCTTCGGGTGCTGCTGCACATAGCCGCTCACCGCGACTACGAGCTTCACTCTCTTGACTTCAGCACTGCTTTCTTGCAGGGCAGCCTGCACGAGGAGATCTGGCTGCGCCGCCCCCCTGGCTTCACTGGGTCAGTTCCTCCTGGCACCCAGTGGAGGCTTCAGCGGCCGGTCTACGGTCTCCGCCAGGCGCCACGTGAGTGGCACGACACACTGAGGACGACACTTGCGGCTCTTGGGTTCGCTCCCTCTACTGCTGACCCGTCGCTGTTTCTACGCACCGACACCTCGCTGCCGCCGTTCTACATCCTCGTGTACGTCGACGACTTGGTCTTTGCCACTGCTGACACCGCGGCACTCGCCCACGTGAAGTCGGAGCTGCAGAGGAGACACACGTGCACAGACCTGGGTGAGCTGACGAGCTATCTTGGCTTGCGGATCACCCGGGACAGAGCACGGCGCACCATCACCCTGACTCAGTCACACATGGTGCAGCAGGTTCTCCAGCGCTTCCGCTTCACGTACTCCTCGCCTCAGTCCACTCCTCTGCCTACCGGTCACTCGCTCTCAGCTCTGCCTTCGGATGAGTCCGTAGAGCCGAGTGGCCCGTATCCAGAGCTTGTGGGCTGCCTCATGTATCTGATGACCTGCACTCGACCTGACCTTGCATACCCTCTTAGTATCTTAGCACGCTATGTCGCTCCTGGCCGTCACAGGAAGGAGCACATGGATGCTGCTAAGAGGGTGTTGCGCTACTTGTGCAGTACGTCGGGCATGGGGCTTGTGCTTGGAGGGCGAGACCGGGTTGTTCTCACAGGGCACTCAGACGCTTCCTGGGCAGACGACCAGGCTACTCAGCGGTCGTCACAGGGTTACACCTTTAGCCTTGGCTCTGGCTCAGTTTCTTGGCGTTCTACTCGTTCGTCTTCTGTTCTCAGCTCCAGTTGTGAGGCTGAGATCTACGCCACAGCCATGGCTGCTCAGGAGCTGCGCTGGCTGACCTACCTGCTGACCGACCTCGGAGAGCGGCCTCGTTCTCCTCCAGTGCTGTACGTCGACAACAAGGCTGCCATTGCCTTGTGTGAGGAGCACAGACTGGAGCACAGAACAAAGCACATTGCCCTGCGGTACTTCCTTGCTCGAGAGCTGCAGCAGCGCGGTCAGCTTCGTCTGCGTTACGTGGCCACTGAGGCCAACACTGCTGATGTGTTCACCAAGGCACTCCAGCCTTGTGACCATCAGCGCTTCTGTACTCTGTTAGGCCTTGTGCCTACTGGGCCTCACTTGCTCACTTCTTGACTTTGCCTGTACTGTGATCACTATATATTTGTATACCTGCATGTTTACTCTTGCTAGGTTGTGATCATTGTACGTCTTGCTCTATTATAAACCTGCATGTGAACTGGTCTTGTGACCGCTTGCTTGTGCTCGGAATTTGTGTGGAATCCTCGAGATCCACCCTGAGCTTGTTTGCCTTGCTTTGCCCTGACTGGTCTTGTGACCCCTAGGTCTCCCCCACTTTGCCTATGGGGGTGTGTCAAACATTATATGTTTGTATTGCTCTAGCCTGTAGTGGGTGATACCTTAGGGGGTACACCTAGTTAGGGTTTCACATTTGTACTCCTGTTCCTCTTAGTCACACTCATTCCAGTCTCGTAATCTTGACAGTGAGGGTGGCGAAGTACCTAGCGACGACATCAGGCGTGGGGCTAGTTCTTGGAGGGCAGCAGTCTGTCGTACTTACTGGTCACTGTGACTCCTCTTACGCTGACGACGCTGAGACTCACAGGTCTACTCAGGGGTACTGTTTCAGCCTGGGTTCTGGAGCTGTTTCCTGGCGGTCCACGCGCTCCTCTTCGGTCTCGACCTCTACAGCTGAGGCTGAGATCTACGCTGGTGCCATGGCGGCACAGGAGCTGCGTTGGTTGACCTTCTTGCTCACCGACCTTGGTGAGCGGCCGAGCTCTGCACCGACCTTGTTCACTGACAACAAGGCGTCTATTCTCCTTTGTCGAGAGCCACGACTGGAGAGCAGAGTGAAGCACATTCACGTCAGGTACTTTCTTCTGCGAGAGTTGCAGAGGCGTGGACAGGCTCGCTTTGAGTTTGTGGAGTCCGAGGCCAACACTGCAGACATCTTCACCAAGGCGCTTCCGCCTTGTGACCACCAGAGGTGCTGTGTGCAGTTAGGCCTTGTTGACACTGGTTCTCGTGTTGCTTAGACTTGAGTGTACTGTTTACTTTGCTTTCTATATATCTCTGTTACTTCTTGGACTGGCCTTGTGGCCACTGTTGTTTGTGCTCAGACTGTGTGGTGACGTTGTGATCCACCCTGAGCTTCGTTTCTTGGACTGGTCTTGTGACCGTACTCGTTTGGTTCTGCTAGACACCCCTCACTTAGGCTATGGGGGTGTGTCAAATGTTGTAGCCTATAGTGAGGTTTGTCTTAGGGGGTACAAAACTTAGGGTTAGCTATATGTACCCCAACCAACATCAATGCATCATCCATTCTTCATTCTGACACATTCTGACATGACTGTGTAGTGTCGAAAGGTGGTCGGAACAAGTGTCACGTCCGGCTCTCGTGGCAACCGAAGCATGGGTGCTACTGCTTGCATCATTAGATCAAACAGATGGATAAAAGGGGTGTGTTATCGCCCTTAGAAAAGCGCGTGATATATAATAGTAATGAGCTTGCTAGAGCTACTGCAATTTCCAGATTTCTTTTTACATTGATGGATGGGCAAAGATTACCGTGTATGTCGTACCAGGACATTTGAAGAGAAATGACATTTTCAAGGAAATAAATGTTTTTATGCCCCAAGTAGCCAAACAGTACGAACTTCATCTTTAGAAAGAGAAAGGGCATAATTTTCCATAGTCTTATATCCTTTTAAGTGCAATCACCAGTCAATTTTCGACCATATGCCGTCATCGCCCGGATATAAGACAGTGTTGAATAGTAGACAGGGGTTGTCTATTATACGGGTGTCTCTTATAAACAGGCTAGCCTTATTATAAGACACCTATTTCTGTGTACGGGTTAGGCAAGTGTAGGGGTTAGGGGCAATTGTATAACGAGGGGGTATCTTCTAAACGGTTCTTTGTCCATTTATAAGACTTATAAGACACCCTAAACCGTCCCAAATACAAGATAACCCAAGCATTTTTGCCCGTGTACGAGATAAGACATATATGTCTTATATCCGGGGAATGACGGTGAGTATTAAATACACAGTTCGGAATCACGATTATGCCATCTTTCAGCCCAGCTACGATTCTACCGAACCCTGAATCCTAGGCCTTACAAAACCCTGGAGCCATCCTTTCCATCCTTCTCTTTTGCCCTTAGCTTCCTGAGCCGCGTGTTTTCCTCATCTCGGGTTCGTGTTCCTGCTACCGCGTGCTCCAGCTCGCAAACCGTAGCGCCTCCTCTAGCCGCGCACCATGCTTAAGAAGAAGAGAGTAAGGGGACGTTTAAGCAGCTTCTATTGCTGCCTGTTGCCGCGGAGTCGTGTCAGTGCCATCGAAGAATCATTCTTCTTTTGCTGGGTCACGTGGTCCGCGTCTCCGTTTCTTCAAATACGTTGCATAACCGCTTTGAGCGAGCTTTATAGTTGTCGTCCAATTGAGCTAATCTTCGTCTCCAATTGATTGTCCTCGGAGCAGGGGAAGGAGGGCAATGCGGCCAAGTACACGACGCGCAATCAGGCGCTCGTGCGCCTGCAGCTCAAACTCGCCGACTTCAGGTGCGTCGGAGTTGTGCACTTGAGGAATTTGTGGTTACATCTGAGTCGACTAACAAGTCAGATGATAAGGGTAACTCGTACATCGGAACTGAAGCTATCCGAATTTAGGTGCGTCAGGGTTTTGGTACGTTTCGGGAGCGCCTCGCGCGGATAGCAAACCCCAAATTTGAACTCAAGTGATACAATGCGTTCGCTCAAATGCAATCATCTCAGCGCTCACTCAAATGCCTTTCCTGCACCAGCCGCCCCTGCAATAGGACTTGCGGCCGCTCAGCTTCTCCGCCCCACGCTCATCTCCGCCCCACGCTCATCTCCGCCCCACGCTCATCTCCGCCCCCACCGCCCTCCTCCCCCCTTTTGGCAGGCGGCTGTGCATTCTGAAGGGCATTCACCCGCGCGAGCCGAAGAAGAAGACCAAAGGCGCGCACAAGACGTACTACCATGTCAAGGACATCAACTTCCTTGCGCACGAGCCTCTCTTGGAGCTCCAAAGGTGGGTTTCGTGAATCCTCATCTCTTTGCGTGGGTTGGTAACGTTCGCCGTTGGTCACGAGCGTGTACAAGGCGTACTACCATGTCAAGGACATTAACTTCCTCGCGTACGAGCCTCTGCTCGAGCTGCAAAGGTGTGTTGCTTCGTTTCTCAACCCGAAACCCTTGTTAGCGGTCGCCGCTGGCCAGCGGCGCGCACAAGGCGTACTACCATGTCAAGGACATCAACTTCCTCGCGCACGAGCCGCTCCTCGAGCTGCAGAGGTGGTCTTTTAATAGACGTCCTTTTTAATTCCCGTTGTTTCAACATTTGGCCGAAATTGCTTCTCTTGATCTTGTCGTTGACTTTTGTGGGTACTTGCGACATCCCACTTTTGTATTCCCTTGAACCTTGCTTTGTTTTGCAACTTCCAGTTGATATTCTCTAAACTTCTAAAGATATCCGTCAACCCGTCCCCCTCTCAACCCATCCCCCATCTCGCGGCCACGTGCAGGGAGATGCGAGGAAGAAGATCCGCAAGGCCAAGGGGCGGCTGGGCTGGAGACGGAGAAGGTGGAGCGGCTGGGCTGGAGACGGAGAAGGTGGAGCGGCTGGAGCGACGTTTTGCAGGCACCCCCAAATCGTGTCCTATCTCAAACCGTGTCCCCTCTCAACCCATTCCCCATCTCAACCCGTCCCCCATCGGGCAACCGCGCGCAGAGAGATGCGCGCGCAGAGGAAGAAGATCCGCAAGGCCAAGGGGCGGCTGGAGACGGACAAGGTGGAGCGGCTGGAGCGCAGCCTGCCGCGCGTGTCACTGGACCACCTCGTCAAGGAGAGGTGCGTGCGCATTGCTGGCAGTGGTTGTTGCGAGGGACACCTGAGTTGACTAGGTCATCTTGTTTGAGTTGACTGGATGCGGAGAAGGTGGAACGGCTTGAGCGCAGCCTGCCGCTGGACCACCTTGTTAAAGAGCGGTGCGTGCTGCAGGGAGAGGTGCGAGGCGCGTGATTGTTGTGGTGAGTCTTCTTCAGAGTCACCTTGTTTGAGTCACCTTGTTTGAGTTCACTTGTAGGTGGAGCGGCTGGAGTGCAGCCTCTCCATTCCCAATTCTTTCTTTCTCCCCTCTCCCTCCCCCTCTCCCTCTCCTCCCGTTTTCCTGAACCCCAGGTACCCATCGTTCATCGATGCGATCAGGGATCTGGACGATGCGCTCACCATGCTGCACCTCTTCGCCACGCTGCCCGCCGATGCCACCTTCCGCATCCCCGCCACTCGCGTCAACAACGCGCGCAGGTGAGGGAGGGGAAGGGGGGATGGGGAGGGATGGGGGATGTGGGGTTCGGGGTTTGGGGTTTTGGGAGCGGGAAGTGGAGAAGAGAGTGTCGTTTGAGCTGCCACGCTGCCCGCCGACGCCACCTTCCGCATCCCCGTCACTCGCGTCAACAACGCTCGCAGGTGAGGAGAGAGAAGGGATGAGCGGGGTGAGGGTTTTGAGGGGAAGGAGGTGGGGAAGGGGGAGGAGTAAGAAGAGTATCTTAAGCTGCCTCTGGAGTGGCAGGCATACATCACGCGAACACACGCCGTGCGCAAGGTGTTTGTGTCGGTCTCCTCCCTTCCCCCACCCACCCCACCTAAACAGGTTGTCACTCGAATGGCAAGCATACATCACGCGAACACACGCCCTGCGCAAGGTGTTTGTGTCGGTCTCCTCCCTTCCCCCACCCACCCCACCTAAACAGGTTGTCACTCGAATGGCAAGCATACATCACGCGAACACACGCCCTGCGCAAGGTGTTTGTGTCGGTGAAGGGCATCTACTACCAGGCGCAGGTCGTGGGGCAGGGGCTTGTGCAGACACACACCCATACTCCGTACCCCATACACCCTTCACACACACCCCTGCAGGCTGTCGCTGGAGTGGCAGGCATACATAACGCGCACACACGCCCTGCGCAAGGTGTTTGTGTCGGTGAAGGGCATCTACTACCAGGCGCAGGTCGTGGGGCAGGCGGTGACGTGGCTGGTGCCACATCAGCTGATGCAGGTCATGCCCACTGACGTGGACTTCCGCGTCATGCTCACCTTCCTCGAATTCTACGAGGTTAGTGAAAGGGGGGGGGGGGGGTGGGGGGTTGGTGGAATGTGAGGGGATAGTTGTTGTTGTGGGCGGGGAGGACGGGGGTGGTGTGTGCAGGGGGTGGTGTGTGCACCGGAGCATCAGCTCATGCAGGTCATGCCCTCTCACGTGGACTTCCGCGTCATGCTCACCTTCCTCGAGTTTTATGAGGTCAGCTGAAAGGAAATGGGGGGAAGGGGATGGGATGGGAGGGTAGTGTGGCCTAAGGGAGGGTCGAGTGTACTGCACGGGAGCAGCAGGTCATGCCCTCTCACGTGGACTTCCGAGTCATTCTCACCTTCCTCGAGTTCTACGAGGTCAGCTGAAAGGAAATGGGGGGAAGGGGATGGGATGGGAGGGTAGTGTGGCCTAAGGGAGGGTCGAGTGCACTGCACGGGAGCAGCAGGTCATGCTCACTCACGTGGACTTCCGAGTCATTCTCACCTTCCTTGGAATTCTACGAGGTGAGATGAGGGAGGGGCGGGGCGGGGATAGGTGGTGGTGTGGGCGAGGAGGAAGGGGGTGGTGTGGTGTGGGCGAGGAGGAAGGGGGTGGTGTGGTGTGGGCGAGGAGGAAGGGGGTGGTGTGGTGTGGGCGAGGAGGAAGGGGGTGGTGTGGTGTGGGCGAGGAGGAAGGGGGTGGTGTGGTGTGGGCGAGGAGGAAGGGGGTGGTGTGGTGTGGGCGAGGAGGAAGGGGGTGGTGTGGTGTGGGCGAGGAGGAAGGGGGTGGTGTGGTGTGGGCGAGGAGGAAGGGGGTGGTGTGGTGTGGGCGAGGAGGAAGGGGGTGGTGTGGTATGGGCGAGGAGGAAGGGGGTGGTGTGGTGTGGGCGAGGAGGAAGGGGGTGGTGTGGTGTGGGCGAGGAGGAAGGGGGTGGTGTGGTGTGGGCGAGGAGGAAGGGGGTGGTGTGGTGTGGGCGAGGAGGAAGGGGGTGGTGTGGTGTGGGCGAGGAGGAAGGGGGGTGGTGTGGTGTGGGCGAGGAGGAAGGGGGTGGTGTGGTGTGGGCGAGGAGGAAGGGGGTGGTGTGGTGTGGGCGAGGAGGAAGGGGGTGGTGTGGTGTGGGCGAGGAGGAAGGGGGTGGTGTGGTGTGGGCGAGGAGGAAGGGGGTGGTGTGGTGTGGGCGAGGAGGAAGGGGGTGGTGTGGTGTGGGCGAGGAGGAAGGGGGTGGTGTGGTGTGGGCGAGGAGGAAGGGGGTGGTGTGGTGTGGGCGAGGAGGAAGGGGGTGGTGTGGTGTGGGCGAGGAGGAAGGGGGTGGTGTGGTGTGGGCGAGGAGGAAGGGGGTGGTGTGGTGTGGGCGAGGAGGAAGGGGGTGGTGTGGTGTGGGCGAGGAGGAAGGGGGTGGTGTGGTGTGGGCGAGGAGGAAGGGGGTGGTGTGGTGTGGGCGAGGAGGAAGGGGGTGGTGTGGTGTGGGCGAGGAGGAAGGGGGTGGTGTGGTGTGGGCGAGGAGGAAGGGGGTGGTGTGGTGTGGGCGAGGAGGAAGGGGGTGGTGTGGTGTGGGCGAGGAGGAAGGGGGTGGTGTGGTGTGGGCGAGGAGGAAGGGGGTGGTGTGGTGTGGGCGAGGAGGAAGGGGGTGGTGTGGTGTGGGCGAGGAGGAAGGGGGGGTGTGGTGTGGGCGAGGAGGAAGGGGGTGGTGTGGTGTGGGCGAGGAGGAAGGGGGGTGGTGTGGTGTGGGCGAGGAGGAAGGGGGTGGTGTGGTGTGGGCGAGGAGGAAGGGGGTGGTGTGGTGTGGGCGAGGAGGAAGGGGGTGGTGTGGTGTGGGCGAGGAGGAAGGGGGTGGTGTGGTGTGGGCGAGGAGGAAGGGGGTGGTGTGGTGTGGGCGAGGAGGAAGGGGGTGGTGTGGTGTGGGCGAGGAGGAAGGGGGTGGTGTGGTGTGGGCGAGGAGGAAGGGGGTGGTGTGGTGTGGGCGAGGAGGAAGGGGGTGGTGTGGTGTGGGCGAGGAGGAAGGGGGTGGTGTGGTGTGGGCGAGGAGGAAGGGGGTGGTGTGGTGTGGGCGAGGAGGAAGGGGGTGGTGTGGTGTGGGCGAGGAGGAAGGGGGTGGTGTGGTGTGGGCGAGGAGGAAGGGGGTGGTGTGGTGTGGGCGAGGAGGAAGGGGGTGGTGTGGTGTGGGCGAGGAGGAAGGGGGTGGTGTGGTGTGGGCGAGGAGGAAGGGGTGGTGTGGTGTGGGCGAGGAGGAAGGGGGTGGTGTGGTGTGGGCGAGGAGGAAGGGGGGTGGTGTGGTGTGGGCGAGGAGGAAGGGGGTGGTGTGGTGTGGGCGAGGAGGAAGGGGGTGGTGTGGTGTGGGCGAGGAGGAAGGGGGTGGTGTGGTGTGGGCGAGGAGGAAGGGGGTGGTGTGGTGTGGGGCGAGGAGGAAGGGGGTGGTGTGGTGTGGGCGAGGAGGAAGGGGGTGGTGTGGTGTGGGCGAGGAGGAAGGGGGTGGTGTGGTGTGGGCGAGGAGGAAGGGGGTGGTGTGGTGTGGGCGAGGAGGAAGGGGGTGGTGTGGTGTGGGCGAGGAGGAAGGGGGTGGTGTGGTGTGGGCGAGGAGGAAGGGGGTGGTGTGGTGTGGGCGAGGAGGAAGGGGGTGGTGTGGTGTGGGCGAGGAGGAAGGGGTGGTGTGGTGTGGGGCGAGGAGGAAGGGGGTGGTGTGGTGTGGGCGAGGAGGAAGGGGGTGGTGTGGTGTGGGCGAGGAGGAAGGGGGTGGTGTGGTGTGGGCGAGGAGGAAGGGGGTGGTGTGGTGTGGGCGAGGAGGAAGGGGGTGGTGTGGTGTGGGCGAGGAGGAAGGGGGTGGTGTGGTGTGGGCGAGGAGGAAGGGGGTGGTGTGGGTGTGGGCGAGGAGGAAGGGGGTGGTGTGGTGTGGGCGAGGAGGAAGGGGGTGGTGTGGTGTGGGCGAGGAGGAAGGGGGTGGTGTGGTGTGGGCGAGGAGGAAGGGGGTGGTGTGGTGTGGGCGAGGAGGAAGGGGGTGGTGTGGTGTGGGCGAGGAGGAAGGGGGTGGTGTGGTGTGGGCGAGGAGGAAGGGGGTGGTGTGGTGTGGGCGAGGAGGAAGGGGTGGTGTGGTGTGGGCGAGGAGGAAGGGGGTGGTGTGGTGTGGGCGAGGAGGAAGGGGGTGGTGTGGTGTGGGCGAGGAGGAAGGGGGTGGTGTGGTGTGGGCGAGGAGGAAGGGGGTGGTGTGTGGTGTGGGCGAGGAGGAAGGGGGTGGTGTGGTGTGGGCGAGGAGGAAGGGGGTGGTGTGGTGTGGGCGAGGAGGAAGGGGGTGGTGTGGTGTGGGCGAGGAGGAAGGGGGTGGTGTGGTGTGGGCGAGGAGGAAGGGGGTGGTGTGGTGTGGGCGAGGAGGAAGGGGGTGGTGTGGTGTGGGCGAGGAGGAAGGGGGTGGTGTGGTGTGGGCGAGGAGGAAGGGGGTGGTGTGGTGTGGGCGAGGAGGAAGGGGGTGGTGTGGTGTGGGCGAGGAGGAAGGGGGTGGTGTGGTGTGGGCGAGGAGGAAGGGGGTGGTGTGGTGTGGGCGAGGAGGAAGGGGTGGTGTGGTGTGGGCGAGGAGGAAGGGGGTGGTGTGGTGTGGGCGAGGAGGAAGGGGGTGGTGTGGTGTGGGCGAGGAGGAAGGGGGTGGTGTGGTGTGGGCGAGGAGGAAGGGGGTGGTGTGGTGTGGGCGAGGAGGAAGGGGGTGGTGTGGTGTGGGCGAGGAGGAAGGGGTGGTGTGGGTGGGGCGAGGAGGAAGGGGGTGGTGTGGTGTGGGCGAGGAGGAAGGGGGTGGTGTGGTGTGGGCGAGGAGGAAGGGGGTGGTGTGGTGTGGGCGAGGAGGAAGGGGGTGGTGTGGTGTGGGCGAGGAGGAAGGGGGGGTGTGTGGTGTGGGCGAGGAGGAAGGGGGTGGTGTGGTGTGGGCGAGGAGGAAGGGGGTGGTGTGGTGTGGGCGAGGAGGAAGGGGGTGGTGTGGTGTGGGCGAGGAGGAAGGGGGTGGTGTGGTGTGTGGTGGTGGGGGGGACGGGGGAGGGTTGAGGAGACTAGTAAATCAGGTCATGCCACTCACGTGGACTTTCGATCGAGTCATACTCACCTTCCCTGAGTTCTACGAGGTCAGTTGAGGGGGCGGGAGGGCAGTGTGGGATGGGGATTGGGGGTGGGCTGGGCTTGGGATGGGTGGTTGGTGTGTGTGGGCCGGGATGGGGTTGATGTTGCTGGGGGAAAAAGGTGGACCCTTATGGGTGCTATGAACTCAAAACCTACAACAGGTCGACTGACCGTTTTACTCCACTTCCTCTCCCCTCTCCCCCGCAGACCCTAATGGGCTTTGTCAACTTCAAGCTCTACCACAAAAGACTGCTTCACTAAGAGAGGCGCGACTTACCTTATCAATCCACACCTCCTCTTCTCCCCTCCCCTTTTCTCCTCCCCCCACCAGACCCTGATGGGCTTTGTCAACTTCAAGCTCTACCACGAGTTGCGGCTCGCTTACCCTCCTCGCCTCGACCCGCGCCTCGAGAAGGCTGCTGCAGGTGCGCTCCATTCCCTTCCTCACACTCTGCTCCAATTCTGCTTCCACTCTGCTTCCTTCCTCTACTCTTCTCTGTTAATAAATTCGTAATTCCTCGTTAACCTCTTACCACATCCCCCGCGCATACGATGACGCTGTGTGTGCCACATGCAAACCCATAATTTACCATCCTTTCCCCCCCTTTCTTTCCCTCTCCCAACATCCCCCTTCCCCCCACCCCCTGTCCCACCCCATCAGATCTGTATGCAGTGATGCGCAAGCTAGCAGAGGCGGCAGCAGCAGCGAGGCTGAAGCGAGAGAGGAAAGCCATCAAGGCAGCAGCTGCTGCTACTGCTGCTGTCCTTGGTGCTGCTCCTGCTGATACGGATCTTGCTGGTGCTGCTGCTGCTTCGCAAGGAACTGCTGAGAGGAGCGCAGATGAGGGAGGAGAGGGGGAGAAAGCAGAGGGAGGGACAGACGATGGTGCTGCTGCAGCGGCAGCGGAACCAGCAGCAGGAGAAGGAGAGGGCGCAGCAGCAGCAGCAGCAGAAGAACCCCCAGTGGATCCAGAGAAGGAAGCATCAGAGAAGCTTCCCGCACTTCGCAAGCAAGCAACGGCGTCGCGAATGGCGTCCCTGCAGAGCCGGCTGGCAGCCATGGCAGCCGCGGCAGAGGAGAACCCCGATGAGGAGGAGGAGAAAGCAGAACGAACAGGGAGTAAAGGAGCGGGTGGAGCAGAGGCAGAGGAGGAGGAGGAAGGGGATGAGGATGATGAGGAGACGAGGGCGTGTCGGCGGTTGTTCAAAGGGCTTGTGTTCTTTCTCGGGCGGGAGGTTCCCAGGGAGCCGCTGCTGTTTGTGATCCGCGCGTTTGGAGGCAGGGCCAGCTGGGAGGGCGAGGGGGCGCCGGCTCCTGAGAGTGACGACTCCATTACTCACCAGGTGGGCAGAGTCACACTCTACTAGGTGGTCTCGTGTTTTTTTCTCTAAAAGGAAGGTGCTCTGAGAGTGATGGTGACTCCATTACTCACCAGGTGGGTCGTTCCTGAGTGCCTGTATCGCATCACCCTGCTGCTGTCTCCTTCCTAATCTCTCTCCTCCCTCCTCCCTCTTCTCCTCCCTCTTCTCCTCCCTCTTCTCCTCCCTCTTCTCCTCCCTCTTCTCCTCCCTCCCCTCCTCCCTCCCCCCTCCTCTCCTCCCTCCGCTCCTCCCTCCTCCCGCTTCTCCTCCCTCCCCCCCTCCCTCTGTTCCCTCCACACCACGCGATCAGGTGGTGGACCGACCGCAGCAGAAGCACCGCATTCTCTCGCGGGAATACGTGCAGCCGCAGTGGGTATTCGATTGTGCCAATGCGCGCATCCTGCTGCCCTCCGCGCCCTACGCCCCTGGCCTGTGAGTGTGCCCCTCCTCCCCCGTCACCCTCCTGTCCTCTCTCTGCCCTGTCGGTTTGCTATCCTCTCTCTGCCCTGTCGGTTTGCTATCCTCTCTCTGCCCCTGTCTCTACTTAAATGAGTTGAAACATCCCTAGGGACGCCCCTGCAGCTTCCTTTCTGTGTCCCTGCTGCTGCTAGAACAATCTCCTCCCCGTCTTTTTCACTCTGCTGATCCCCACGAGCAGCATTCCACCACCGCAACTCTCCCCATTCGTGAATCACGAGAAGGAGGGCTATCTGCCCGTCCAGCCTTTCTCAAGTGTGCTAACTACACCTCCCCTCCCTCTACCCCGCCCCCCGTCCCCCCTCTCCACCATTCTTCAACCCCACGAGCAGTGTGCCACCGCCACACCTCTCCCCTTTGTGAACCACGAGGAGGAGGGCCATCTGCCCGACCAGCTCCCTGAGACTTCTCACTCACTCCGTCTCATTCGTATTCTAAACTGTGTGCAGGTGTCTCCTTCCCCCCTCCCTCTTTCCCCCCCGCTTGGTCCCTTGACTGCCATGAGCAGTGTGCCACCGCCACACCTCTCGCCATTCGTCAACCACGAGGAGGAGGGCTATCTGCCCGACTATGCCTCTTTTCATTACGCTCCCCTCCTTCCCCCCTCTCCCCAACACCCCTCTACCCCACGAGCAGCGTGCCACCGCCGCATCTCTCCACCTTTGTCAACCACGAGGAGGAGGACTATCTGCCGGACTATGCCCATGTGACTCGTCACTCACTCCATCCCACACGCATATCTAAAAATGCGTGCAAGTATCCCCTCCCTCCTCCCCCCCCTTCTCCCCCCCATCCTCCCCCCCTTCTCCCCCCAGTGTACCGCCGCCGCACCTCTCGCCGTTCGTGAACCACGAGGAGGAGGGCTATCTGCCCGACTATGCCGCGGCGATCCAACGGCTGAAAGAAGCCGCAGCGGCACGAGATGCTGCTGCACACAAGGGGGCAGCGGGGGGGATGCTGGGCATGGGGGCAGGGGGGGCGCTGATGGAACTGGAGGGAGCGCATGAAGTGAGGATGAGTGGCGAGGGGAGTGTGGCGGTGGGGGGAGGGGAGGACGAGGTTAAGGCTGAGGAAGCTGCACTGGCTGCTAAGATTGCAGAGGTGAGAGGGTACCACCGATTTCTGGCTGGTTAATCGCTGTCACACAGTTGTTTGGTCTGGTTGTCTCGTGTGCTTTCAACTTTCTGGGGGGTCGGCTAGGCCCGTTGACTAGTGGCTCTGCCTACCTTCACATGCCATGACGGTTCATGTGTTACTTGATTGTGCCTTGCATGGTAACCAGGTTGCGGCTGAAGAGAAAGCCTACGCTGCTGATTTGGCAAAAGAGCTCTCAGGCGTCCCGTTCTCCTCCTCACTGGTCCAAGCCAAGGGTAGCAAGGAGGACGAGGAGGGAGATGAGGGAGATAACACAGCGGAAGGAGAAGAGGAAGAGGGCGACGGAGACGAGGCGGAGGAGGAGGAAGATGAGGAGGACGATGGGGAGGGTGAGGAGGAGGAGAGGCAAGGAGGAGCAACCGCAGTGCCAGTTGTGGCGGAGGAGAATGAGGAGGACGGGGGCAAGGCAGCTGCACGCATGCTGATGAGTCGCAAGAGGAGGGGCCTGTATGATGCCATGCAGATGGGCCGAGCGAAGAAGGCCGCGGGTGTCGCTCTCCTGCACGAGCGCCGCCTTAAAGCCGCTGCCGCTGCTGCTGCTGCTGGTGGAGCCGGTGCTAAGGGTGCTAGTGCTGCTGCTGGTGGTGCTGCTGCTGGTGGTGCTGGTGGTGCTGGTGTTGCAAAGGGTGCTGGTAAGAAGGGTTGTCAACAGGGGAAGAAAGTGAAGCAGGAGAAGAAGGGGTGGCGATAAGGCTGTAGGAGCATGCTGATGAGTCGCAAGAGGAGGGGCCTGTATGATGCCATGCAGATGGGGCGAGCCGAGAAGGCCGCGGGTGTTTCTCTCTTGCACGAGCGCCGCCTCAAAGCTGCTGCTGCTGCTGCCGCTGCTGCTGGTGGTGCCGGTGCGAAGGGCGTTGGTGGTGATGCCAAGGGTGCTGGTGATGTTAAGGGTGCTGGTGATGCCAAGGGTGCTGGTGATGCAAAGGGTGCTGGTGATGCAAAGGGTGCTGGTGATGCAAAGGGTGCTGGTGATGCAAAGGGTGCTGGTGATGCAAAGGGTGCTGGTGATGCAAAGGGTGCTGGTGATGGTGGTAAGAAGGGTGGGCAGCAGGGGAAGAAAGTGAAGCAGGAAAAGAAAAGCTGGCCATAAGAGAAGGAAGTTTCTGTTGCTCCTATGGACAATGTGGAGGTGCCTCATGTTTATTGGTGGACCAATTTTGTTACGTACCACTAATGATGAATTTGATCTCGCGAGAGGTGTCTGGTTAGCGTGAAGAATCAAGGGTCGAAGGTTGTGAACCAGCCTTATTTCGTTACAGTAATGGGGAACTAGTGCGGTTTCTCAATAGCATTGCACTTATGTGGTACACTGCCGCTCACTTTCTTCTATGGCCATTATAACAAATCTGTACACACGTCAAGCCAGCAAGCAGTGTCCCTGTTAATCAATCCTGTACTGCAGTGTTGGGAGCTTGCCTAGTGTAGGCAGAGCAATACACCGCACTGCACCGCACAGCAGCACATGTAGCACGTTTGGCGTTAGTCACAAATCTGCAATCAGCTTGGCTATTCTGTCGCGCCGTCTGTTGCGCTCCTCCTCTCCATCCAGGTCTCCAATGTTATCGCTGTACTCCTGATGATGGCGCGCACACACACAGGGAGGGGGGGAGGGAGGGAATGGAAGGGTGGTAAGAGACACGGGACTTCTGCCTCCTCTCATCCAGGTCTCCAATGTTGTCGCTGTACTCCTGATGATGTGGAGTGCACACACACGCACATAGGGAGGGAGGGAGGGAGGGAATGGAAGGGTGGTAAGAGACACGGGACTTCTGCAGTTGGAGTATCCCCTCCCCCTCACCTGCAGCAGAACCTTCGCCCGCACTATTCCCTTAATGGTTCAAAACCCCTCACCTGCATACTAACTTTCACCCGCACTATTCCTATAGCGGTTCAAACCCCTCACCTGCAGAATGGCCTTCACATGGTCTCTTGACAGCTTCTGCTGTCGCAGCAGCAGGTCAATGCGATGCCTCATGCCCCCATGCCTGCCAGTACGGGAGAGGAAATGAGCAGGAAACAGTTTTTTTAGGCCCCTTAAAAACAGCTTCTGCTGTCGCAGCAGCATATCAATACAGTGCCTCATGGCCCCATGCCATGGCATGTGCTCATCTCCTCTCATGTGCTGCTCGTGCCTGGCAGCATATGAGAGGAGACTTTTGACTCGACTCAAAAGTTGCCTGGCAGCATGTGAGAGGAGATGAGCAGTAGACGATGTGGGGGGTGAGAGTGGAGATGATTGGAAAGTGGTACGAGGACGACACATGGATATGGGAGGCGGGAAAGAATGTGCCTGGGATAGTACATGTTAGAATTAGGCTGTCAACACTTTGTGTATTCTATTTTATATGCTGTAGGTTATTTGTGGGTTGGGTGTAGATTTGTAATCCCAACCCTATCCGGTTGGGATTCCCCTGTAACCCAACAAATCTGCCAACTCACCGTTGGGAATTTGATTGGATTCCCATCCCATCCTTTCCCTAGCTTTGCTCAAACCAACCTCGATTGAACTTAAGGCCTAGTGCCTTCAATTCTAATCAATCAGTTCAAGCTCCATTTCTATCACATGTGATAAGAGAGCATGTGGAAAGACAGGGAGGGAGGGTTGCAAGGAACAGTGAAGGGGGTTGTCAGTGGTGCTGTGAAAGCAATCGAGTGCCACACAAGGGGACGAGCTGAGAAACTTTTTGAGAGGGGACTGATGAGGCAAGCGAAGAAAAAAGCATGGCATGTGGCAGGGGGCATGAGGCAGGGGGCATGTGGGTGTGTGTGCTTACTCTGCCGCCCAGAGGTGGGCGAGAATGAGAGCGATGAGCTGATGGAACGGTGATGGTGATGCCGATGGTGGTCATAGTGGAGACAGTGGAGTGGCCCATCCCGCAAGAGGGCGTTACGAGGTGACACACAAGACCCGGGGGGGGCGGGGGGAGAGGAGGGGGGAGGAGGGGGAGGAAGGGAGAGGAGGGGGGAGGAGGGGGAGGAAGGGAGAGGAGGGGGGAGGAGGGGGAGGAAGGGAGAGGAAGGGTTGGTTTCATATTTGAAGAGGAGAGCAGCAGTGCACTCGCTAAGCAGTGAGACGGGGAGTAGGAAAGCATGGGGCACGTGCTACTGACAAGCGTTGGAGACGAATATAGGCACATCTGGGGAGGGCGCCCCTGGAGTGGGGGAGGGCGCACCTGCAGTGGGGGGAGGGCGCACCTGCAGTGGGGGGAGGGCGCACCTGTAATGGGGGGGGGGGGGCGCACCTGTAATGGGGGGGGGGGGCGCACCTATAATGGGGGGGGGGGGCGCACCTGTAATGGGGGGGGGGGCGCACCTGTAATGGGGGGGGGGGCGCACCTGTAATGGGGGGGGGGGGGGGCGCACCTGTAATGGGGGGGGGGGCGCACCTGTAATGGGGGGGGGCGCACCTGGAGTGTGAACAGTCCAGCCTCCAAGCGAGCCAAATAGCGATCCTCATCTGTCATCTGTGTGAGCGAGAGAGAAAAGGGGAGTGGGAAAGAGAGAGAGGGGGAAAGGTAAATGAGGGGAGAAAAAACGGGGACAAGAGAGTAGGGGGCAGCACTGGAAGGGAGCGAATGAAGTTATGGGGAAGAGACGGGTGGATGGGGAAGGAGAGAGATGGACGGAAGAAAGGAAGAAGGAATTTGAGACGGAAGGACAAGACAAGGTTTGGTTGAGATGCCCTCCCCTCTCCCCTCCTCCCCTTTCCTTTCCTCCCAGAGAAACAAGAAGAAAGGGAGACTCACCTCCTCGTCATCTTCCTCCTCCTCCCCTTGCTGCCGCAGCATCTCTCGTCTTCTCTGCTGCTCCTCCTGCCGCCTCTCTTCCGCCCGCACCCGCTCCCAGTACCTGCCAGTGGGAAGGGGGGGGGGGGAGAGGAGGGGGAGGGGGATTTGAGGGGGGAGTGAATGGCGCTGCTGGCACTGCTGACAAGCACCCGCTCCCAGTACCTGCCATTAGGGGGAGATGGGGGCGGACGGGGGGAGAGGGGTGCGGGGGGGATAGGGAGTGAATGGTGCTGCTGTCACTGCTGTCACTGCTGTCACTGCTGTCACTGCTGTCACTGCTCCCACTCCATCACTTTTTCACTCCCTCACTCACTCCCTCACTCCCTCCTTGATACTCCCTCACTCCCTCCTTGATACTCCCTCCCTCACTCCCTCCTTGATACTCCCTCACTCCCTCCCTCACTCCCTCCCTCACTCCCTCCCTCACTCACTTCATATACAGCTCCAGCAGGTGGTCGATCTTCTCATACTCTCCTTCCACGAACTTGCTCAGCACTCGGTCCCTCCGTGACCCCTTGGACAGCCCCGCTGGTACAGGTGGGTGCAAAGGGGTGGAGATTGGTTGAACGGGGTGTTGAGTTTCGGAATACAGTCTTTCCCTGAGCTATTGAAGGAAAAAGCAATGACACATGGAGAGCATCAAAGCTGGTTTTTGAGAAAACCAAAATTCTCAAAAACCAACTATTAAAGGAAAAAGCAATGACACATGGAGAGCATCAAAGCAGTGAAGGAGATGACCCGTACGCACAGATTAGGGAAGCAAGATGGAGCAGGGATGCAATGAAGGAGATGACACGTACAGAGAGGAGATGACACGTACAGAGCAGGGAGGCAATGAGGGAGATGACACGTACAGAGAGGAGATGACACGTACAGAGCAGGGAGGCAATGAGGGAGATGACACGTACAGAGAGGAGATGACACGTACAGAGCAGGGAGGCAATGAGGGAGATGACACGTACAGAGAGGAGATGACACGTACAGAGCAGGAAGGCAATGAGGGAGATGACACGTACAGAGAGGAGATGACACGTACAGAGCAGGGAGGCAATGAGGGAGATGACACGTACAGAGAGGAGATGACACGTACAGAGCAGGGAGGCAATGAGGGAGATGACACGTACAGAGAGGAGATGACACGTACAGAGCAGGAAGGCAATGAGGGAGATGACACGTACAGAGAGGAGATGACACGTACAGAGCAGGGAGGCAATGAGGGAGATGACACGCTCATCTATCTCCTGCTGCAGCTGAAGCGTCTCTGACTTGTCCTTGCGCTTCACTGTCACCTGCACCCCGCAACACACAGCACAGAGCACAGAGCACACAGCACACAGCGTTTTGAGCCCCATCACGTGGCGGGGCAGCGAGCGGTGGCGACTTGAAGGTCTCATTCATCCTGCTTGTCCAGCAAGCAACCACCAACAACCCACCTTCCTCCCTCTCCCACCCCCTCAACCCCTCACCTTCCTCCCTCTCCCACCCCCTCAACCCCTCACCTTCCTCATGAACGCGGAGAACAGCGTCTTGAGCCCCAGAACGTCCACGAACCGCTCGCACGCGGCGGGGCAGCGCGTGGTGGCGAAGTCGAGGGCCTTCATAGCGGACGAATACGCGAGCTTGCGCTGCTTCATCGTGATAATCATCAGCTCCACCCCCTCCGATTTCACGAATCGCTCCTTATTCTCGTCAACCATCACCACGCTGCACAGCGCGTCGAAGATATTTTCCAGCATTTCCTCCTCTTCCGTCGTTTTCGGATCGCGCGACTTGTAGATCGCCGCGGCCTGCAGCAGCGAATCCACGCCGTTCATCGCGCCGACTCGTTTCTGGTTCGCGGAGCTGCCTTGGAGCAGGATCGCGAGGATCTCGCTCGCATATAGCTTATTCGCGTCGAACTCTTTAACGCGTATCCGGGCCAGTAACCAGCGTAACAGTCGCGTCCGTTCGCAGACGGCCTCGGCGACGGTTGGCAGTGCCTCGATCATATTCTCGAAAATACCTAACGTCGCGAAAACGGCGTTACCCTCTTCGCTATCCTTTTCGTCCAATCGCTGAAGATTCTGCACTAGAAGCTCTAACCCGCTAGAATCGACTATCGCCTGCACCAATGCTTTCGCCTCCTCCTCGTGTTCCCCTACCGCGTCCGCATCCGTCAACTCTCCTAATAACGAAACCGCTCCTAACGAGATGTCCGTGTTCTCGTGCCCCAGGAGCGACAAAATCGACGGAACTGCATTCAACCGCACTAAATCGGGGTACAGGCTCGGCGCGCTCGCGACAGCGTGGAGCTTCTTGACCTCCCTATCGAGCTCCACCTCGGATTCCATAAACTTCTCTGGTTGGTCCACGTGGCGGATCCGCGCGTCCATGTTCTCCTTGAGCCGCTTCTCGAACGCCAAAACCGCTCGCCGCAATCCGCGGAGGTCCATCACCTCGACGGATAACCCGCCTCCCGCGCCGCCCTCCCCCGCCGCCGCCGCCGCCGCCGCCGCTTCCCGTTCGAGCGCTTCGAGAAGCTCCATGTCGACTTCGTCGGTGTCGCCCGGCGCCGCGGGGAGCACGGGGCGGCGGAATTCGGATTCAGGCCCGCCTCTCTCCCCTCTCTCCTCATCGTCGGAATCGTCGCGCATTTTC